ATGGTCCAGATAGATGGAGTAGTGGATGGTTGGTGGACGGCCATCCTGTTCCAACAAGGCTGCGACATCAGCAAGGCAGTGGTGGAGTCATGTTTTGGGCCGGAATCAGGGCCGGCCTTAGGGGTGTGCGAGCTGTGCGACCGCACAGGGCGCCATGGAACAGGGGGCGCCCTGTGGCCGACACAGCTCACTCATGGCCGGAGTGCAGGGGAGCTAAAAGAGGTACCTGGCTGGAGGATTAATTGTTCTCCACCCAGGTCTATTTAAAAAAAAAAAAATCGCGGCAGAGGGGGCGGGGTTTACCGAGCGGCGGAGGCGGGGCTTATCGAGAGGCGGAGACGGGGCTAATACCTCCCGAAGCCCCTGCTGTACAGGAAGAGGGAAAGATGCTTCCCCATCAGCCAACTGCATCCACTGGAAAGAGGTAAGTGTGTGTGTGTGACTGTTTGCCTGTTTGTGTGACTGTCTGTCTGTGTGTGTGACTGTCTGTCTGTGTGACTGCCTGTGTGTGTGTGTGTGTGTGTGACTGTCTGTCTCTGTGTGTGTGTGTGACTGTCTCTGTGTGTGACTGCCTGCCTGTGTGTGACAGTCTGTCTGTGTGTGTGTGTGACTGTCTGTCTGTGTGACTGCCTGTCCTTGTGTGTGTGTGTGTGTGTGACTGTCTGTCTCTGTGTGTGTGTGTGTGTGACTGTCTCTGTGTGTGACTGCCTGTCTGTGTGTGACTGTCTGTGTGTGTGACTGTCTGTCTGTGTGACTGCCCATGTATGTGACTGCCTGTGTGTGTGACTGTCTGTCTGTGTGACTGCCCGTGTGTGAGACTGTCTGTCTGTGTGACTGTCTGTGTGACTGTCTGTGTGTGTGACTGTCTGTGTGTGTGACTGCCTGTGTGTGTGACTGCCTGTATGTGACTGCCTGCCTGCCTGTGTGTGTCTGTCTGTAACTGTCTGTGTGTGACTGCCTGCCTGTGTGTGTGACTTTCTATCTGTGTGACTGCCTGCCTGTGTGTGTATAACTGTCTATGTGTGTGTTACTGTGTGTCTGTCTGTGTGTGTGACTGCCTATGTGACTGTCTGTCTGTGTGTGTGACTGCCTATGTGACTGTCTGTCTGTGTGTGTCGCTGTAGCTGTGCCATTGTTTGTGCCTGTGCCTGTATGTGTGACTGCCTTTAACTGAGTGTGTGTGTACATGCCTGTAACCGAGTTTAAATTTCCCCCACCCCTTCCTGTCAAGGCCGCACTTTGACTGACAGACGCTCACTCACTGACAGACGCACACTCACTGACGACACATACACACTCACTGACGACACATACACACTCACTGACTGACACATACACACTCACTGACTGACACATATACACTCACTGACTGACACATATACACTCACTGACCAACACACACATTCACTCACAGACACACACACATTCACTTACAGACACACACAATTACACACTTACAGACACACACAATTACACACTTACAGACACACACACACACACACACACACATTCACTTCAAAATAAACACTCACAGACACACACACAGACATTTCCACTAACACTCACAAACTAATATTTTTTACATTTATTTTAAATCCACCCAGCCTCCCTGGGAAAGCTGGAGTGGATTTCTTACCAGCAGTCCAGTGTGGCTGCTGGGCAGGCAGGCAGGGGGCGCACAGGCTGAGTAAGCAGCGCTTAGTGATGCCGGGAGCCGGACTGACGTCATATTCTGGCTCCCGGCTTCATTAAGCGGCGCAGAGGAAGCTGAGCAGGAAGAGCTCAGGTGAGTATGCTCCTTCGCTGCCCGCTGCCAGCCTTGGGGGGGCTCAAAAGTGGCCAGCCGGTCAGCTCTTGAGCCCCCCAGGATGCGAGGCAAGCAAGGGATCTGCCTGGGGGTTTGGAGGGATGCTTTTTTTTGCCGCCCCCTGCAAAGTGGCGCCCAAGGCAGATGCCTTGTTTGCCTCGTGATACACACGTCCCCGGTGCCTGTGTGTGTTACTGTATTCAGGCAACTTGGTGGGAGGTGGGGGGGGGCGCCGTGAAGACTTTTTGCACAGGGCGCCTAATTGCCTAAGGCCGGCCCTGGCCGGAATCATGGGAAGAGAGCTGGTCGGCCCCTTTAGGGTTCCCGAAGGTGTAAAGGTGACCTCTGCAAAGTATGTGGAGTTTCTGACTAACCACTTTCTTTCTTGGTACAGAAGGAAGAACTATGCTTTCCGTAATAAAATCATCTTCATGCATGACAATGCACCATCTCATGCTTCAAAGGATACCTCTGCATCAATGGCTGCTATGGGGATAAAAGGAGAGAAAGTCATGGTGTGACCTTCATCCTCCCCTGGCCTCAATCCTATTGGGAACCTTTGGAGCATCCTCAAGCAAAAGATCTATGAGGGTGGGAGGCAGTTTACATCCAAACAGCAGCTTTGGGAGGCTATTCTGACATCTTGCAAACAAATTCAAGCAAAAACTGTCCAAAAACTCACAAGTTCAATGGATGCAAGACTTGTGAAGCTGCTATCAAATAAGGGGTCCTATGTTAAATTGTAACGTGACCTGTTAAAATGTTAAAAAAGTTAAAATGTTGTTATACGTTTGATTGAAATAGCTTTTGATTTCAGTAAATATGCTGCAAACACAACAAATTACAATTTTCAGTTCTTAAAATTAAATAAATAAATTATTTATTTCTCACAGTTTTGCTATAACTAATTTGCACATACATAGTGAAGCTCAAGAAATGAATTCAATAATTTGGATTATTGCTAATTAGGATTTCAGTGTATTTGTGCACTGTCTACTCTTTTCACGCACTTTCTCAGGACTTGGCTGCTGTTCAATTCTGCCGCTTTTATTGCATCTCTCTGTTTCCCTTTAAAGTTATAGAAGTCCAATAACGTATTGTAATAGCTGTGGTCTAGAAATATGATTGATGGAAAAGCTATATCTGATGGATGTGCCGCATGCATGCTGATTGAGCGTCAACTAAGGCCCAGCTGATTGCGCGTCATCTGAGGCGGCGCACCTGCGCCTGGTGCCTCCATCAGAATTCTATAACCTGAGGCCTGCCAGCGTGCATGCGCGCAACTGATCTCGCGCACCGGAAGTGACGTCCGTATAAAAACTTGATAGATATAGATTTCTGATAGAATATCGGAAAAGTTTTACTGCCTCTTCTACCTCTCCTACTTATCTTTTTTCCAACTTTTTTTCTCCTATGCTTCGCTAACACTAACAACTTATTAAAAATATTGGATAGGTTGGTACAAATACTTGTTGGCATTACAATGTACATTGTTTGAGTATGTAGTTGTCTACAAATCGGGTGATCCATGGGATCCTTCCACTCTAATGAATCTGCACTTAGACCCATTTGAATGTATGTAAATGTATATGTATCATCACCTAGTTTACAAGCGGCATTGCCCAAGACGGATATTCTCTGTATGGCATTCGCCCCAATTTTTGACTGCACATAACGACAAACCCTAATCTAATAGAAGAAATTAATTTTTAAAAATATATATATAATTTTTTTTTATAATCCTGTTAGACGGGTCCCTGAGCCATTATTTAGGCTAATCATATGTACTTTGGGGATTGTCTGCAGTCTATTTGTTGGGCAATATAAATTGCAGTGTTGTTGTCATTCACCTGGATTTTTAATTTTGTTTAAATTTATTCTCCATATGTAAACCCTTAAGGACACAGGTTGAGACATAAATGGCCAATATGATGGAAAACTTCTGATCAGATCAATGCAGTATATTGGGTGTCTTTAGGAAGTGAAACCACATGCCGCAGCCTTCCCTGTACTGTGCATTTATATATAATGTATTAAGGCCTGCATTCTTTCTATGTTGGAGGATTCTTGCCTTTCCTCTCCTTCTGGGAGGCTGTAAGTCAAGCTGTTGAGTTCTGACACCTGACAGACCTGTTTAGACACTTAGGAAACTTCAGCTGTAATTTTCTTTTTTTTTCTTTTTTTTTTCAGTTTTTATTTTCTTTTATTTAGTTTGCTATGCAGAAAAAGGTTGAATTTCTATGCAAGAAAGTAATAAAGTGAAACAAAAATGGACAGTAATCTGTTTCTGTATGTGATGGTGCTAGCAGTGTACAATCTAAATTATTAAGAGCAATGCAGCAAAATAGAGATTTAGTAGCTACTATCATAGGATACCGTTAAATTATTATTAATAGTAGTAGTAATATTTATATAGCGCCAACTTATTACTCAACGCTTTACAATATTATGAAAGGGGAAAATTTTACAATAAATGAGACAATTACAAAATGTTCCAGGGACAACATTATTCAGAACAAGATAAACATACTACTTTATTTCAGTACATTGAGAAATGTTTTTTTTAATTGTATTTTTTTTTTATGTCAAAGTTATCATTTTTACAGATATTTTAAGGCTTTAAGTTATTTAACTTTGCATTTTCTATATTCCAAAAGTATTTATGACAGGTATGTTTGCTTTATTTTTTTTTTTTTTAAATTCTTTATTTTATTTGTGCATATAACAATCACATCAGGCTTACAATGCCACAACAGCTAGGGTAATCATTTTTGTTAACATGGTATTACATGAGTGAGCATTAGCGGTTACTGCACATTTTTTATATATTAATGTTGCTTGTCAAGGAATTTTTTCTATTCTGCTTAAAAGGAAAGGTAGGATACGAGATTAGACAGAGCATAATAGCATACATTTAGCCCTAGAGATTTAAGCATTGCTATTGCAGAGTATGCACAGGTAGTAGGTAAATACTGTGAGGTTTACTGTAAGAGTAGTACAAGCGAGGTATGCCACCCTGAGTGAAATTTAGTAGCATGTGCTAGTGTGAAGATATTTGGGACAACTGGCCCAGACAGCAGATAAAGTACACGTTCAGCAGAAATGTCAATCTTAGCATACAATTAGGTGAAGAAGGGATGATTTCTCCTGGCTGTGTGTGATGTGAGTGTGAGTTAGATGGCCCTCTGTGCATTCAGCCTATGCCCGTCATGGGCAGGGTACAATACCAGGTAATGGGGTGGATCAGGAGGCATATTGACCCAGACAAAATCGATACAGAGTCCATGTTATATGGTTTCTTCTTCGATATCCCCTGCTCTCCTCTCCCTGGTTTATCCTGCTTGATTTTCCAGCTGCCGGCTCTATAGGCACCCCTTGCTGATGCAGGCCTGCGCTTCCCGCCTTCCATGCTCCGCCGACCTGGTCTTCTCCGCCATTTTCGCACTGTCTTTGTGCCACGCCAAGTTTGAGGCTGCCGGAGACCGGGTTTAGGTGGGTGATCCTGCGTGGTTTGTAGGTCGGGTACCGGTTGTCGGAGGGACAGCGTCCCCCAAAAGTCAGAAAGAAGTTTGTCCAGGAAGGACAGCGTTCTGGACATCACACCTCCATAGCCAGGCGTGGGGTCCTCGGCATCCGCCATATTAGGTCTACCATGTGTGGTATCATTGCCGTCTGAGTCAGATTCGCACAGCCCCAGTAAGGTGAGTGAGCCTCCAGGGTGGGGACCGGGATCTCCCCCGCCGGTCCATAGGGGGGGGTAGCAGGGCGCCATCAAGATTTGGATGTAGGTCCGCCTGAGCTTGGCTGGGAGAGCGGCCGCCTCTCCCTTCCACTATGCTTGCTAGGCCTCAGTCCAGCCTGTTGAGGGCTTAGTCTGGACGGCTGCTGTTAACCGTTCAAAGCCCGTCACCTTTCACCTGACGTTCAAGCTTCGCAGGCTGTCTTAGAGAGAGCACCGGGACTACGGGTAAGCGGCTTAGTTTCACTGATTTGCCCGGAGCTCTCTGAAAATGCATCCAGCCGCCATCACAGTCAGGCCCCGCCCCCCCATGTTTGCTTTATAACCCAGAATTACTGTAATGAAAAGCCACAGCAAGAGCACATCCCTTAATGCACTGGGTCTTTCATAAATTAAATTAAATATCCACAAAAAGAAATTACAATGATATGTCTTTTCTTTTTGAAAGCTCGTTTATGAATCTTTTCGTTAAAACATTGTAATTGTGAGGAGGCAGTGGGATGGGTGCCCAGGGACAGAACTTTGGTGTTAAACTTTTTAAATATGATTTAACACCATCAAGCAAGTAACACTCCAAGAAGTATGACAATTACAGTGCGCTGCAGTGATTATGGTGCGAGGAGTGCCTTTGCACCCCCTATCCATTGTAAGGAGTCACACAATTTTAGAACGGTTTGACTTCTTACCTGCTCTGCACCTCCTCTATACTTCTATGTCTATCTTACCATTCTTGGTAAACGTGGGAACCTATTCGCTAAGTAGTAAGTTGAGGTAATTTAACAAATGCCTTGAAAAATGTAAGTCAAATTAATTTTGTTAGTAAAAAAAAATATTTCTCATTAGTGCTATTTAGTGCATTTACACAAGACTTCAGCTGTAATTTTCAGCTTCTTTTTTTATTGAACCTTTTATTTAGTGATGCAATATATAAATATATGCTATATGAAAAAATTATGAGTGGTCTCTCGCGCCCTCTTTAGGCAAGCCTCCTCCCTCCCTCCCCCCAAATGTATCCATTTGCCATGATCATATGAGCTGTGCTGAGTGGTGAATAACTATCAATCTTGTCCACTGGTTTACATGGATTACAAAATAAAAACACACACACACACACACAAAGTTTTCAGTGAATAATATTCTACCAGTCTACTTCCCTAATACTATCCTTACCTCCTGTGTCATTTTACCCCACTCCCTCTAGCACAGTGCTGCCCAACAGGTAGATCCCCAGATGTTGTAGAACTACAACCCCCATGATGCTTTGCATGCCTTTTAGAATGCATTTAGAATGACACAGCATCATGGGAGTTGTAGTTCTGGGGATCTACCAGTTGGGCAGCCGTTGGTGATCTACCTGTTGGGCAGCCCTGCTCTAGCATGTAAGCTCACTGAGCAGGGCCCTCAACCCCTCTGTTCCTGTGTGTCCAACTCGTCTGGTTACAATTACTTGTTTGTTAGTCCACCCATTGTAAAGCGCTATGGAATTTGTTGGCACGATATAAACATAATAATAATAATTTAGAAACTATAACTATAGACCTACACCATTTTGAAATTTAATTTATTAAGTTATTCATTGTATTTTATTCACAAATTGATTAAATAAATAAATAGCAAAAACCTTTTAATTAATTTTTTAGGTTATTCGGAAGCATCTTTTTTTTTTTTAATTCTTTATTTTAGTTGTGCAGGCTATTACAAATAAGCAACACACGCCACAACAGCGTGATCCATGAATTGCAGAGGGTAGACTGTGGAGTAGAAGTAAGCACATTTCTATATTATTTATAGATAACAAGGATAACTAAACGTTTCTAGTGTTAGAATAGTAGTGAGTGAGTATCTTTAACTGCGTTGGTGTGGCTTACGTTACCATGTGTTGAGAGCAATATTATTGGTTACCGTGTAGTAGTGGTCGGCTTAGTAGTAGCACTTAGGTATATTGTGTGTCGGTTCCTTGAGGAGTAACTCATGCTCGGCTAGGCCGCTATCCTGTCTAGGTAGGGTTAAGTGAGTTGTGATTGGCTGTGTCAGCTTAGCCGTGTCAATGCGGGTTTTGTGATGGCATGTTATGCCTCATAGTAGTGGCCAGGCAATTTGCATCTCCCAGATAGGTCACGCCGTAAGTAAATGGGCTAATGAGTGTTAGACGGCGCCCCACCGGGCCACCTGTACACCAGGTGTAGAAACCAGTACCCTATGGCATGTTTTGTGCCTATTTGGGCTTGTATGTCATGTTGTGCAGTCAGGGTTGTCTCTGTGTTGTGACATTCTATCATTATTAATATGAACATAGAAAAACAAGTGTGCGTTCAAAACGCCATTATAAACTGTTATAAACTGTGATCCCCATCGGGGGTCCTCACGGCTGGCCTGCATGGTGGACTGCAAGTCTCTGGGTGCGGGGTATTGGCTGTCTCAGCACAGCCGGGCGCCCCGGGGCATCTGAGGGAGTTACCGTGAGTCCTTGTGAGGTCCCTTATGAGTCCATCTCACCAAGCCGTCAAAGGTCTTGCGTAATGGGCTTGTGTGGACCCCGATTTGGCACGGTCTCCACAGCGTCCAGGAGCACAATGCAGTCAGGTATAAAAGTAAAAGTCAATAGGAACTAAGAAAACTGGAAACCAAGAAAAATAAAGTCTGGCATTGAGCAGGAGGGGCTGTGGTTCGCTGTGGTTCTGGGATATTATAGAGCCGCGTGGTGCCCCGTGCGTCTCCGCTCAGGATGGGGCCATGGCAGGGTTGTTTGGTTGCCTTGTTAAAGGCACGAATGGCATGATCTTTGATGGGTCCCATCGGTGCTTTACACTGTTTGCGCCCGCCGGGACTGCTGGCGTGAGAGAGTTCTCTGGCAGGCCAAGTATTGGCAGTAGCTGCTCAGCCTCCGGTAGGTCTTTGACCGTGTGAATCTGGTTGTTTTTCAGGACCTGTAGGGCCCTTGGTGTGCGCCATCTGTTGGTGATGTCGTTTTGC